TCAAAAAGGATTTTGTTTTTGCGACATCTATATGTACGTATGTACGTATGTAGCTCGCATAACTTAAAAACGATAAGCTGTAGGATGTTGAAATTCTGTGCATGTAAAAAGAAATTTGAACAAATAACGGAATCTAACGTTTAATGCGATCTTTAAATTCCTAGACTTATATTTGCGTACATTTTATACCTGTTATGAGAAAATAAAATTACAAGAAGTTTTAAAATTAACTATGATAGTTAATATCAAAATATGCAGTTTTTTATGTCATTTTCAACTTGCCTTGAGGGAGCGGTTAATTAAGTCGCGGAAATTATTTTAAATCAAGTGCAGCAAAAAATGTGTGTAATTTAGTAGGCCGTACAAAGAAATCATGTGGGATGAACATTATATTTTTCTAATTAACTAACTTTAATTTCATCTTAAAACACTAATCTCTTATCTTTCTCAAATTTTTTATTTGATTTTAGATTTTGAGATCTATCTAGAAAACCCATTTCGTGCAGAAGACAACTGTGCCATGTCATAGGTGCTATAGATACCAAACAGTTCTTCCGCGAACTGTTTTGTTCTGCCGATGGTTTTAGAACATAAAATGAGCTGTTGTTCTTTCGTGTCACGTATACAAAAATCCTCAGCTGCTTAGAATTCAGATAACTTCTGGAGTACAGGAAAGGAATCCTTGGCTCATAGTTAATCCAGAAACGAATCCCAAGTACTGCCATGATATGTTTTGAGCAGCAGAGAACCAGACGTACTGGTTTTCAAAGATAAGAGAAATGTCTGTAAAGCCTTTGATGGCAATGTTGCATTTTTTTCTCACTTGCAATTCAAGATTTTTTTTTTAATGTACCTTCTTTCTTCTTTTATTGCGAGACTGCAAATAAAGAACTGACGAAGAGTTAAAAAGTGAAAAATTTTAACTCCATATTATATTATTTTATATCTACATCTTCTAACCGCTTTAAAAAAAATCTGGTGTAGACATACGTGATTGTACGCCTAATAAATCACATACAATTCTTGCTGCACTTCATTTAAACTTTTTTTTCGAATTATTCTAACTTAATTAACTGATCCCTCAAGACAATTCGAAAATTAAGTCAAAAATTGCAAATTTTTAAAATTAAATATCACGGTCACCTTTTTGTCGTACCAGAATCAAACTTCCTAACATCGTCTTCAAACATCTTATTTTCTTATAATAAGTATAAAACTTTCCCAAATATAGGTTTGGAAAATGCATTAAAAATTATATTTGTTCACAATTAATTTTTTAAAATTTGAAATTGCCAGAATATGAATATTTTCGTCATTTAAATTTCTTATGTAACTAAAAGTGTATGTCTACGACTAATGCCTGCAAAAATAAAGGACAAGTAATTACTTTTAAGCCGGGTAACTGGTGTGGGTATGTATACATACTTTTGTTGTTGTTGTTGCTTATGCTCACTTGTCTGACATAGTCAGCTCAAGTCAATGAAATTCAAGGAGTGCGGCAAAGAGCGCTAGATTACGCCTGCCGTTGGAAACAGCCTTGAGCACCATTCAGGTGACAGTTAGCTCAGTTCCGTCCAAAACTGTGATGGAAAACACACCGGGGAGGGACAGGTCCGAGGGTCTCCTACCCCTCTAACCTTCCACAAAAGCCACACGAGGGGACTTTCGGCTCACCGGATATTTAGAGTGCCACCATGCCGCGCCGACACTATGCATTTACAAACATCCACGCCTTCTTCGGGATTCGAACCCACGCCCTTTGGCACGGCAGTCAGCGATATATACTTTTGGTACTGACGATTGCAATAAAGAAGGAGAGTGCACAACTAGGTATTATAGCAGCCCCCACATACAAAGTTTCAACGTTCTACGGCTAATCTTTTTTTAGTTATGCGAGATATATACGTAGATGCGTATGTAAAAACGATATGAAAAAATCCATTTTGAATTCATTTTACAACCCTTTTTGGAATAAAAAGTCCTTTATTATGTCAGTATGTACAGAAGTTACGGAAAAAACGATCGAGAACGGTCAAAATTGATATTTCGTTGAAATATGATACCTGAAATTTTTCGCTTTTACTATATTTCCTTTACTTTCTGTAAGAAAGTAAAAATAAAATTTTACTCTACTACTAGTTGACTTTTATAGCTTATATTGAACTATTAATACGGCAAAACAGGGAAAATAAGAACAACATATGACTTTAAATAACAATAGCTATCAAAGATAGACACATATTTAATCCAGAATTTATTATTTAAATTATCTATACTTATCAATTTAATAAAAATAGGTTAAAAAGTGTTTTATAAAATAAACTTTCGTTAAAAACTCATAATATATTTAATGAAATAAAGGGAAAATGATTTATCGCATAATTTCATGGGAGCAAGAGTTTAAATAATTCTCTTTGCAAATTCATTTACGATTTTACATCGCAAATAATAAAAGCTTGAGGCGACCTTCATAAATTAATAATGATATATACTTTGGACAATGAAATTCGATAATTCATTTCAATTATTCGGGCGCCCACGCTTTTAGTCGTGGTGCAAAACTGTAGATGAATTCGCAAAGAGAAGTATTTAATATCTTCTTCTCATAAAAATATAAGATAAATTATTTCTCTTTCAGTTCATTAATTATGTTACGTATTTTAAATAAATGTTTAATTTATGAAACCTTTTTATCTTATTGTTTAAATATTCCCCAAAAAATCACAAATAACATTAAAATTTTTATATAAACTTCATTTAAAAGACTTATTTTTCGTTCTGTCCCATTGTGCAAATACTAAACTTCTGAGAGTTTTATTTTGTAAATTAATTGAAGGTACGAGCGGGAAATCGTTTATTAAATATTAAAAAAATCTAAATCGAATTCTTCAAAACATATTGCTCCCGCTGAATTCATAACCCACTTTTTGTCTTTTTAGACTTTTCATTAAGTATAATTTTCTTCTCAATTACGCCACATACAGTTAAGCAACAAAATCACAAAATTTTTAAAAGCAGCATTTATTTAGAATTCCCGATGCATCGTTAAGTGTTGGCATACTTTTTTAGTCTTTTCTGAGTTCATCATATCAATATTCAGGTTTCTTACTAAGATGGCTTTTCAAAACTTATTTGTCTTTTTATTATTAATGTTTTGTGCGTTTACACTATTTATTAAATATCGCATTCTTGGCGCTTACGCCACATAAAATTCAATTCAAAAGCAAAATCACAAAGCATTTAAAAAGCTGATAATTAAAATAGGTTATAACCAAGTTATTTTTTTAATTTTGTGACCTTATTACTATTGACTGTAATGCTTAACATAATTTCTACTTTTGTGGGGAAAGCGATGGAATCTTCTATAAGAAAAGCATAAAATTAAAAAGTACAGAATATGCTAACTCAGAATTGTACTCTAAATTTAAAGTTTGTTTTTATTCAGGAATATAAATTGCTTTCGACACACACTCTCACTTTGTTTCAGTCTAGTTTACTTGGATTTATGTGTAATTTTGAGGAAATGTAATATTTCAAAAAATTTCACGACTAAGTATCGCTTGAATTGTTACTTTCATCTACATTAAACTTCGCATCTGTAAGCCTTTCTTTATTCTACTAAAAATAATTTAGCGGAAAAACAAGAAAGAAGATTAGGATGGAGGATGATCAGATCAATAATCAGTATGATGGTGAGAAAGAGAAGGGGTACAGGTTTGAGGAAGATGAAGAAAATGAGGATGAAGAAAACGAGGCTGAGTACGAGGATGATTAGGAAGGTGAATATGAAGATTACTAGGATGAGAATGAGTTTGAGGAGGATGATAAGAGTAAGGAAGAGGATAATGAAGAGGATGTTTAAGATGATGATGACTGCTAATTGTGAGAAGTTTAAAGATGAGATTGAGAAAGAAGAGAAGGTGGATAATAAGGAGAATGAGGAGGAGGATTAATATGATGAAAAAATGAATGAGAGGGAAGATGAAAACAAGAAAATCAGAATGAGGATTATATGATAAGGATTATAAAGATAAGGAAGCGGAGGATGAAAATAAGATGAAAATGAGGATACGGGTGGTAAGAATAAGGATGATGAAGGTGAGGATGAGGCTGATGTGAAAGAAGAAAAGGCTCAGGATAAACTTGGGATAGAGAAATATGATAAGGAGGAATAAGATGATGAGGATGAAGTTATAAAAATTACGATATAAATGAGGAGAATTAAGAGATTAAATGATGAGAGTAAGAATGAGAAAGTTATGATTATTATGAAGAAGAATGAAGAAGAGAATTAGAAAAAGGAAAATAAGGAAAAGGATGATGACGATGATGCACATTTAAAAGAATTTTTAGCAAAAGTATATAAATTTCTTGATCCACTCACTTTTACTATTAACTTCAAAAGTGGTAAGATCGTTGGCTCAGCAAATGTGTTTTGTTTGCACTCCATTATTTTTCTCTACGCTATCAGCGCAGAAAAATTATTAGAATTATTTTTATAAGTCATATTTTTAAATATGCAAAATGTTTCCAATTTCTGCAACTTAAGTATTTTTCTTAAGCTCGCTATTTATTTACTATAAAGCTTACTGGGCTTAATTAAGTACGTTTTTTGTCGTTTTGGTAGTAAGCCGAAGAGGCTATTGCATGGTTTTGATTCTCAAACTTTACAATAGTTTTTAAGTGAGAATGAGGGTGAAGGTGATGAGGAGAATGAGAATGGGGATAAAGAAGTGGAATAGGACAAAATTATCTAGGGTGATGATGAAGATGACGAGAGATGAGGATGTGCATGAGGAAGATAAGTATGAGGATAATGAAGTTTTGGATGAGGATGACATGTTTGAGAATGATGAAAAGAATAAGTATGATAAAGATGATAAGGATTATGAGTATGTTGATGAAGAGCAGAAGTAAAATGAAAAAGAGAAGCAGGCTGAGATTAAATATGAGGAGTTTAGAAATAGAAGATGATGAGAAAGATGAAGAGAAAGAAGATACTAATGATTAGGAGAAGAAGGAAGAGGATGGGGATCAGGATAAGGAAAATGCGAAAGAGGAAATGGATGAGCATGAGGAAATTTATGAGAGTGGGAAGGATAAGGAGAATAAGAATGAGAATCAGGGAGAAAATCAACAGAATGAGAAAGAGGATGCAGGTGAGGATGATGATGAGAATGCGGAGGACGAGAATTAGAATGGCGAGGGGGAGGATGAGGATACGTTGTGGATGAAAACCTTGACAAACCATCCTCAAATAAAGAATTCTTCAATAGAAGCTGCGAAAATTACTTACTTATTATCTTATTAAGGACCTTAAATTCTTGTGCAAAAACTCAAATCTCCTGGTCCAAAATTTTGAAAGTTTTCTCCAAGCTTTCTTCTTGTCATGCAAATAATCAAAGGCATTATTGCCATTTGAAGTCAGAATGACCTTTTACTACTCTCACATTAACAGATACGAATCAATAGCTTGTAACTAATTGTAATTTCAAGTGTAAGTTTTTGTAGCCTCTTTATCGACCGCACTGCCCCTGCTTTGACTCTATTCGCGCTTTGTCACCACAGCTGAAAAATAAGAATCATTTGTCAGTATCATACGGAGTCGCCCTGTGGGCATGTTGGAAATGGGTTCTAATCTCAAAGAAGGCATGAATGTTTGCATATATATATAGAGATAGATAGATAGATAGATAGATAGATAGATTTATAAGAAAAGGAGAGGTAAAAATTAGCTAGAGCCGTAAAGAACATTTGAACTTCCTAATTCCTGAAATTACATATAAAACAAAGTCAAAACAACAAAATCTAAGTTAAAACAATAAATTGTACGCGAAGAAACCTACTTATACAAAGAAAATTAGAAAACCTATACAACAAAATCAAAATTGGTACACGAAAAAAAACCTTTTCAATTTACAAAATACTGAGAAATTGTACATAAAAACATGGTCAATCTTCTTTGTTCAAGGTTTCAAACAGAACTTATCAGGGGAAAGGTGCTTGAAGCCTTTAACCAAGTTGATGACCCACAAAAACAAACAAGCACGTTTTGTCGTACAAATATTTTGAGACTGGAAACGGCTTTCCTAGTTATTAATTTTTAATCATCTATTACTAACGACGTCTCAATAGATTTCCGACGAAACGTGCCTTTGTCAATAGTTTAGTTAGAGATTTCAGGTACTTTTCCCTTAATAAGCTCTATCTGAAGTCTCGTGCAAAGTGAATTGAGCATTTTTTCAATGTTTTTGTATATTATTTCTTTGTATTTAATACGTTTTGATTTTTTAAGAGTATCAAAATTTAATTTTGTAGAATAGATTTTTTAACAAAATTTAATTAGTATTTTCTAAGTGCTAATTTGGATTTCATTAAGTTTTTCTTAAATTTTGTTGTATTTTACGTAGGTTTTTTTCGCGTAAACTTTTACTGCTTTCAGTTAGTGTAATTGTTTTTACATGGTGTTACTTGAAAACTTTGGAATTAGCTGAATTAAATGAACTTTAAAGCTTTAGCTATATATATAATATATATATATAATTGAAAAAGGAAATTTAAAGCTAACTAGTCATTTGACGTAAGACCTATTTGGTCTTAAAACTTTTTTGCGCATAATGCTGCAAAAAGATATGAAATAATAGTAGTAGGTAGAAACATTGCAGAGATCTTGCTAAAAAGTTACCAGGAGCTGTAGCTCCACGAAATATTTCAACGCTGTATTACTAAAATATAAACTAAGAAGAAATTTTTGTCTGGGAAAACTGGAAAAAAATTGTAAACTCCCGAAAAAGACTGCCAAAATTAATGTTGGAAGACATGCTGATGCATGCAAAAAGTTAATCTGACCGTTGTGATATGTGAAAAGTTAACTCACATAAAAAATAGATGGCGGAAAAAAATATATATACATGAAAAGTTAAAACATATTAAAAAATATATATGGACTGAAAAAAGTCAATACATAAAATGCAAAAATTAAAATGAAAACATAGTATGCAACATACAAAAATACAATAATTACTACGGAAAATGGTAATTAACCACTCGACCCCCAATGGCTTCAAGGGAAAAAACTGAGTGTCGAACTAGGCTAAATACCATTACGCGTTCGCCGAAAACAACCATTGAAGCTCTTGTTTAACGCGAAAAATTTTTTATAAAAAAACATGATATCTCCCAATAAATCTTTTTTGAGCTTCACTGCTTGTTCCTTTTTCCCGACGCGTCCGCCGAAAAACATTAGGGTGTAAAAGTAATTGCACTCGGAGCAAGAAAATTAAAATTAAATAAAATAAATAGTGGTCTGTATTATACAAAAATTACAACGTAACTGGTCCCGGTTTACGTTCATTACAACAACGTACGGGTGGTCCGTATCTCCTGGTAACTTTTTAGCAGATCGCTGCAATTTCTACCGACTACTTTATATATATAGATATATATATAGATATATATATACGTTAACTAGAAATCTTACTATACGTTAACTAGAAATCTTACTATACGTTAACTAGAAATCCAGTAATGTATAAAGTAACTTATGTCCGACGCCCTAGGTAGAGTATTCTTTCAGGAACACCAACACTAACTTTCTTTTTTTTATCTGAGAGAAAAGCACAACCCTGAGACATCTTGGATGCCCTAAAACATATCGATTTGGGCTTAAATTCCATGTTTGAATTGCCTTCGATCTAATGTTAAACAAGCTAAAAACTACTAGCACTTCTTAGGCCATCAGAATTAATAGTAAATAAATACTGTAAGAAACAGGTATGAAACTTTGTACTTTTGCCATAACATTAATGAGACTTTTAGCAAATCGCACTTAATTCTCCTAGGATTTTACTGATATGTGAATAATTCATTGAATACATTTATGATGAAAATTATTTCGATATATAAGAATTGCTGAAAAGTGATAGTGATATTGAAACGTGATATAAATGTAAAATCTAATATGTTTACATTACAATATACACTAAAATGGAAGTGACATGACATCATAAAGAATGCACCACGGTAATAGGACTTTTATAAAATGGATATTATGCAGTGAAGAGAGAAGAGATATTTAATTACAAAGCACTTAAACTCGTAAAATCATATCATTTCATTTGCCGTCATATTATGGACAATCTATTACAAATGCTTGGCTTTTGGTACTTCAGTCATTAATTTCCGAACCGAGTTAGTAACTGAATATCATACAACAATTTTGCATAAAATGCTAAATTGATTATTCTGTGAGCTTCCTTTATGTTAATTAACCAGTTGTTTTAACTTTTGGATCTGTATGGTCACTTCTCCCTTTCTGTTTTCCCACTAGAATGCCAATTTAGTTCGCTTGTATTTGAAAAGTTTGCGTATTCTGCCTGACTATATTACGAGATTGTTCTCTGAGATAAAAGTTCTTATCTTCGGCCTTGCATTATAATTGCCAATAATTGAATTCCCCGCTGATTAAGTTTTGAGCCAGCTTCGCGTTAAACTGATTGTATAGCTTTCGGCTACTAGATTATTTGAAGTGAAATTTTACATTTGACTAACATAAGTTATCATGCCACAAATGGTTGGTTGAGTTGTAAGCACTAGTGTATTTTTTCTTCTTATTCGTTTTTAATTAAAGGGTATTTTGCACTCTTCTCAAGTTACAGTTGCTAATTTTGCCTTAGCGATAATTCGCTTAACGTCTACCAACTGTGGGTGTTTGATAAGCACACTAAACTCTACATTCGAAAACTCCGTGGCTCATTCACTATTCCAATAATACGATTCTAGATCACCTCTAGTTCATATTCAGGAGACTAAGACGACCCAAAGATATGTGAATGATGTCCTGCAGCCGGTGACACTCTCCTACTTTCAGGGAGTGTCCAATTCCCTTTATCAGAAGGATAACGCCGGACCACACACTGCTCGCATCAGCTAACATGCTCTGCAAGGGGTACAGATGCTTCCCTGGCCATCATTCTCCCCTGCTCTCTCACTAATCGAACACATTTGGGATATGATTGGATGCCAGTGTTTGACACTGCCATTACCGCATTCAGAAGACGAACTGTGGCAAACGGTTGACAAGGAATGGAAAAAGTTCCTTACAACCAAATGGTCTTACAACCAACTGAACCGACGCTGTTCTCACTCTTTATTATGCATAGCATTTTGAAATAAAAGATCACTTATTGTTCGTAGCTGTCTTTCTGTTTTTGCCGAGTTTCATCACTTTCTGGCGACTTCTTAGTGCTACATTTTCAGTGTTGGGTAGTGTATCTATGCCTATATGTTTGTGAACTTGGACTGTAGAATGTTCCTTATTTTGCATAAATTATTTTAAATTTGGTATCTTTCCTGAACCTTGCATTTCCTTGCCAGAATACTAATTTAAATTTAAGTGAAATGAGTATTTAAACAGATGAATCTTGTAGTTTATTCAGAGCATGATTTCACGCACGTTAATAGTTTGTCCTTGCTGTTACGCGGAGTTTTTGATACGCCTGTTGGCCATTTAATAAGTACATTGCCGGGTAGGTTATTGAGACAGCCTTAAATTTTAGGCAATATTTTATTGATCCTACATTACATTTATTTTATTTTAGAGAGAAAATATATTTTAAGTGTTTCATATTACCTTCCTGAAATTATAATATCATCACTATTTTATATCATGATTTCCCATTTGATGCAATACACGCAATAACTTCCCGGTGTTTGTTTTATGCACGAGGTCATTCAATTTTTTTTTTTTGTTTGTTTGTTTGTTGTTGATGCTGCAAATGAAAGATTCTTTTTTGCATTTATTAGGCAAATCATATGACCGATTCTAATCTGATATTATGTTGCTGGAAGGTTGTCTGCAAAGCTCAGCCTACAGGTCTTCAACTATTAACTGATTCGTTCAACCATTTTTGGTTTTGACATCTCAAGGATAAAGAAATTTGTTTCCAATTGTTTGACTTTGCTGTTACTTGACCGAGTTTAAATTCTACAAGGACATGGTTATATTAAACTAAGGATAATATCATAAATACTTTCTGACTCATTGTTATATAAAATAAATGCGATTTACTCAAAATCTTATTCAAGCTACTTCATATACTAGCCGCCTAAAATTGTAATTATAAAAAAGAAAATACATATAATGAATTGAATGAGTCCAGACACTGTAGTTTCATAAAAATATTTCATACGTCTAATTAATATTACTAATCTAATAGTTCTAATTAGACATGATCAGATTTAAAAGTACAAAAAATATTTTTAAGCGCTGTTTTTACTG